TTTTACTGGCTGATAAGTTGAAAAAATCGGCAAACTGGTCGATTTTATCGCGATAAAGCGCACAATTAATCGGTCCGTAAATCGCGATAAAATCGTCGATTTTTCCGCGATTTTCATCACATGGGTAAGGTTCCTCTGTCAATACATATAATTAGCACAAAAATATTCCATCATAAATATACACGCACATTCGAGTTTGAAAAGAACGTAAAGAAAACTCCGTTATAATCACTCCCCCTTGTATTGTAGCGCTCGATTTTTGTCTTTGTTTTAAAGCAATTGTAGCGCTGTCTAGTATTCTGTAATGTTTAGCAAGCTCCCCAATAGTACTTGAATCGAAACAATACTGGCGCCATTTATTGATATTCAAACAGATTGTAATCGACGATATATTTGAAATTGCTCAGTAATATTTCGACGAATAGAACTAGTCCCCAGAGGTCGGTTTGGTCATTTTTACAGTTTGCGTACAGATAGAAAAAGTGGTTTAGCAATAAAACTTTCTGTTTCTCACATTGTCTATCGAAATCCGACGGTGCCAATGGTGTTTTAAATATAAACGATATAATGTTGGAAAATTACAGGAGAAAAGATGCAATTCACATATATTAACGGGTGCCTCAAAAAGAATTATACTCTCAGTTTTTCTCCTCCTTTTAATTAATTCAGCAAGCTTTTTACTAAAGATAGCCCGTTTAATTCTTTCGGTGATATGTATGTACTATTTTATTGCAAAATCCGAAGGTGGAAAATGAGATGTCAAAACTAGGCGTACATAAATCTCTACTACTGCCGTAAAATTTCCAAATTTCACGGTTATAGTGGAGATTTATGGATAAAATTTATGGATGCGTAATTTTGACCAAAATGAGATGAGAAATCTTATGAAATACAAAAATGGAGAAAAAATAAGTTCGACAACCAGCTTTAAGTTTTATTCGCTAAACGTTCGTGGGAGGAAGAAAAGCTGAAGTAGCCATCGTGTAGGTCTTGGAAAGCCCTATGTTCGATCTGTGATTACAAATTTTTTACAGTTAGAACTGAAGGTATAATAATTTTTTCCTGTAATTTTTCTAAAAATGATGCTTTTTGACCAGGAATTTGCTTCATTTGATAAAATAAGTATAATCTAGTCAAACTTCATCCTTTCAGGTTGAATTTTTTTCATTTTGAAGAGTCTATATTGTTGGATCAGTAAGATTTGAGAAAGACTTTTGTATTATTGCGCGTAGATAAGGTTCAAATCATTTATTGTTTTCACCGACAAATCAATCTTTGCGTCGGATATTGCCACTCAAAACAAATCTTGTTGCATGTCATGAGAGACAGCACACTTGAAACTACACGAAAGTGTACTCAAATCATGTTCTGATGCTTGTGAAACCATTTGAAAAAATTTAGCTCTTAGAAAATACATTAATTTTTTCTCCATTTTTGCACTTCATAGGATTTCTCATCTCATTTTCCACCTTCGAATTTTGCAATAAAATAGTAAATACTTATTTTGTAGAGAATTGAACGGGCTATCTTTTAGTAAAAAAGATTATTTGACAGTTCCACTTTGTTTTTGGCAGTTTTGGGATGTTTTACGACTGCCTTTTGGTTTATATCATGAATCAATCGATCTGTGATTCACCTTGTTTATTTTGTTTTTCTATCTCGAAATAATAGGGACAAATCCACTAAGCGCTTTATCCATCTATACATCATCTGATTATTTGACAATTGAACACAATAGTGGGAGATTTTTCTCCAAGAAAATTTCAGGAGTTGTGTACTGTGATTTTGAAGCAAAAATGTACAAATGTACTTTATTTCAAATTTGCATATGCATAACACTAAGGATATAATTCATTCGGTGATCTTTTGAACGAGAGATCAGCATAACTGCACAATGGAAGGCAAATACTTTGATTATTTGTGTCTACTTGAGAAACGAAATGTTTATATAATTTCATCGTGGAACACCGTATTTTCTATACCAATAGTTTTTCTTTCAGATTTTGTGAAATAATACAATTGTATGTAAAAGAAACAATTAAAACTTAGAGAAACATGGCATTTTTAAAAAATGCGCTGTTTAAGGTATCTTTCTATTTTGAAGTAAACCATTGAGCTAAGAATAACTTGTACACTATCTTTTTCAGCTTTCACCGTGTTCTTTCATGTATAGTCAGAAACGTTATTATTTATTATTACACGAATATGTATCAATGGGTCTACTAGAAGATTTTGGCATACGCGTCCCTAAATTTAAACTAGCTACGACTGCAGAACAAGTCCAGCAGATAGCTGCTAGTAAAGGTTAGTGAACCGAAGAACTATTAAAAACGTATACATTAAATTGTTTTTTTCAGAGTTTGGTAATGATTTAGTAATTAAAGCACAAGTATTAGCTGGAGGTAGGGGGAAAGGAACATTTGATTCGGGTTTGAAAGGTGGTGTTAAAATGACTTTTTCGTATGTATCGATTTATTTACATGATATAAAAGTATTTATGTTTGTTTTTATTTCTTCGTTTTAGCGCGGACGAAGCAAAGAACGTATCGTCAAAGATGTTAGGTCATCGTTTATATACAAAACAAACTGGACGAGAAGGAAAACCTGTTAATAAATTAATTGTGTGCGAAAGATTATTCACAAGAAGAGAATATTATTTTGCTATTGCGTTAGATCGTGCATTTAACGTAAGAAACATATTTGAATTTTAAATGTTAACTAAACTTCTAATCATATGAAATAATCAGAAATTAATTGTGTAAGCTTATTTACTCCTTTGCACAAGCGTAGCGAAATGGTGCTGGTCTTCATATTCAGTTGGCAAAGTTTTCTTCAAAAGTTTCTGAGCTGTAATAGCTCATCTGGCTATTAATCCCACGGTCGATCTAAGCAAAAACGAACCAAAGTTCGACTAAAGACAAAGTTTTCTCTGTTGATCTCAATCCTGACATACTAGAGTGGTCTAATAAAATATGTAGTCAGAAGCGTTCTCAACTTAACAGAATATTTTTCATCTGTTTTCAGGGTCCTGTAATTATTACAAGTACTCAGGGAGGTTCAAATATCGAAGAGGTAGCTGCTGAAAATCCCGATGCAATTACTCGATATCCAATTGATCTCATCAAAGGCTTTGAACGATCTGAAGCATTGTCCATAGCTGAACAACTTGGATTTTGTAACGATGCATTACAAGAAGTATAAGATACTGTTTTTTTTATTTTTAACTGTTTCTTCTGCACACATATTTTGTTTTTAAGGCAGGTGATACTTTGTTAAAACTATACGATTTATTTATGAAAAAAGATATTGTTCTACTTGAAATTAATCCATTAACAGAAGGAGCAGATGGGAAAAGTTAGTAGTTATATTTGTTCTTTCATTTTATAACAATTTCTTGCCTTCTTTTTTATTTAGTCTATTGCATGGATTGTAAAATAAATGTTGATGATAATTCAGAATTTCGTCAGAAAGAAGTATTTGGGTATAAAGATGTATCACAAAGTGATTGGCGTGATGTGAAAGCAGCTGAATCAGAATTAAATTATATTGGACTTGATGGAGAAATTGGGTGTTTAGTGAACGGAGCTGGTCTGGCAATGGCCACCATGGATATTATTAAACTACACGGTAATTTAATTGATATATGAAAGTAGACATCAAATAATTTATTCATTTTTGATCAAACTATTAAAGGTGGTAGTCCAGCAAACTTTTTGGACGTTGGCGGAGGTGCATCTTCGAAACAAGTTAAAAGTGCCTTCGAATTAATTACGGCTGATCCTAAGGTATAAGTTTTATTGTCGATGCCAACTTTTTAGCTATAAATTTTGAATTTTATTACTTAGGTGCAAGCTGTTCTAGTCAATATTTTTGGTGGAATTATGCGTTGTGGTATGAATAAGAAAAAGATTTCTCTTTATTATGTTCTACCTTTTTAAAAATATATTTTAGACACAATTGCATTAGGTATCGTAGACGCAGCACAAGAACTAAAATTAAACATACCGATTGTTGTTCGACTTCAAGGTAATCAATTACTAATGGAGAACCTTCAATAATAGTCGCAATTGTGGTTTCATTTTAATAGGAACTCGTGTCGACGATGCTAAAGCAATCATAGCCAACAGTAGATTTAAAATATTACCATGTGATGATTTAGATGAAGCTGCTAGACTAGTAAGTAATTTGATATTGATTGAGGAATGATACAATCCAAGCAAAGATTCTCATCAGCCAAAGTAGAATAATACATCGGATGAGACAACTGTTGAATCTCACATGTGAACTTAACGAGAAAATCTTCCCAGATGCTACTCATCTCTATTTTCAATGATATTATGCCTATCGATGGAGATTCTAAGAAAAAGTATAAAAGGAATTGACCTTTGTTCTCTCTTTCAGAATTTATGAATGTTTTTTTTGTCCGTTTATAGAGAGAGTCATCATAACAGTAAAGTTTTTGTATCTTTGTAAGAACAGCGAGATAAGGGCTGGAAGTTTTTCAGCAACCATACCAGTGGTCTGTTAGTATCACAGAAATAGTCGAAGGAAATCCGGCTTTTCTACATATTGAGTAAGTGAATTTTTACTTCGTTAAAGAAACCTTACTTTCCTCTTAAGAGCACAGCATAAAAACAGTTCAGAATCACATTATTTTTTGTACAAAATATGAAAAAATTTCGTTTAAATTAATTTTTTGGATATTAAAATAACCCATCGTTCTCGCTCTTCCATTGCAATTTCTTGATATTTTGATTTTGTATAGAGAAAAATAACTTTCTTTGAAGAATGGAATACATACAGTATAACAGAATGCCGCAGTTAACAGGATGGTCGACCAATCTTCCTACTGATCATTAGCAAAGGAAATCTTTATCTCTCTTCTGCTATTTCTATGATACTAACAGAGCACTGGCACAGTTGTTGAAAAAATTTCAGTCCTTCTCTTGCTGTTCTTACAGAGATACCAAAACTTTAGTATTATGATGATTCTCTCTATAAACAGACAAAAAACATTCATAAATTTTGTAAGAAGCAGCAAGGATCCAATTCCTCTTATGCTTTTTCTTAGAACGATATCCTCCATCGGCAGGCATAATATCAATGGAAACGGGGTTGAGCATCTGGGAAGATTTTCTCGTAAGTTATTACTGCTTTTAAATTTTGATATACTGATATTGTTTTCTAAAAATGTCGGTCTTGGATACTTGTAAATAAAACATTTTTAACACAGTGAGATTTTTTACTCGTTTTAGGTTGTTAAATTGGCACAAATAGTTGGTTTGGCACGATCCGCATCTGTCGGTATTCAATTTGAGTTGCCTATCTGAAAGAATATTGCGTATTTTTATGTAGCATTCATATTATTCCTCGTTGAACAGTAAATTTATGATGAGACTATTTATTTATTTATTCCTTTATGTATAACTGTCACTGAGAACAGTATTGAAGTCTTTTTTAACAATATTAACGTTTTTATTTACACTCTATTATTAGAGTTTTATTATTTCTGTTTTTTTAGTTGGCAAATTTGTATTATTTCACCTCAGCTAGATTAGCCATTTTCTGTTTTTTTAACTCTCTGTACTTTAATCTCTTGCAACCATTTGTACAATAGCAATACGATCTGTTTAGTTGTTGACGTTTTTTTATACATTATCTCCACAATATTTCATTTTAGATTACCTTCGTCCATTATTTTCGTGTTTTTAAACATAAACTAAGTTCATAGCTAGTGTTTGCCTTTTCATTATATCTTTTCTATCTGTTTTTTAGGAAAAAAATTTACTCAGTATAAGATGTTTTAAGTCATCATTTTCAAATTCTTTCTCCATATCATATTTTCAATGAAACGAAAAACGAATATCAACAGAGTTTAAAATGTACATAAGGTGCATGTGTAGAATTGTTAATTATTTTCTTCTGTTATCAGTGTTTTTCGATTAGGATATGGAAGGGGGTGGATGTTTATCTCCTGGTTTGGATAAAGTTATACAAAAAAACTTATATTTCGAAGTTTTTTAAGAAATTAAAGATAGTTGAAAAACTGTCTTTTATGCAACTAAATGATTTTTAGGTAGTTGAAGATACTTTATTTGCGAGACATTTTTAATTGTGAATGTATTTCGTATTAAATATCTATTGAGAGTGATAGAAATTAATAATGAATAAGTATAGTGAATAACTGCTGTGAAAAATATTTTTATTTTATTCAAAGTTTATTTTAACCAGATAATAATATTAAACAAAATTAAAATCCTAACTTTCAATCTCACACTGAAATTATCATCAGGCATTATGACTGACTCTATATTGAACAAATGTGTTATAACAAATGTGATGATGATTTCCGACATGTAAAAGCTATTGTATATGCCGTTCCATTTAAATTGGATAACTACTACAACAAATATTACTAATGTGAATACAACTTGTTACGAATTAATAACGAATAAACGGTTTTGTAAATATTAAGAAATTAAAATTTTATTCTAATGCTACTAAAGATGATGATAAAAAAGTGTCTCTATTCACGAGAAAATTATTTAAATTAAAATATTTAATAGTAAGTTGCGATCATCTAACAAAAAATATAAAATTTTCATTTGAACAAACATCATATTAACAATGAAATGAAATGGATTATCCCATATAACAGAAAAAAAATACAAATACAATAAGAGTGTGAACACTTTCTATTTAAGAGGTGAAATCGTTCTCTCGTAGTTGAATATCAAAACTTATAGTATTATTTGAATAGGAAACATACTTTTGTTACTCACCATCTACAGCTGACTATGTGTTGCATGCCGAGAATGATTGCTCTTATTACTCTTCACTCGTCCTGATGAAAAAGCGAGTATTTCTCGACTGACATTCACCATTTTATTTAATTTATTGATCTTTTAAAACGATGGAAAAGTAACTGGACAAATGTCGAGCATTATTTCTACATGCTCATGGTGTGCTGAAAAGGTAATTATTTTTCCAGCGTAAAAATAAAGTCTGATCTTTAAAAAACATAGAAAACCAAACTTTTTGTGATTGAGTATGAGTGAAAAAAAATTTGAATTTCAAGCATCGCCAAAAAATTTATTGTAACTTTCGCCGTCTCCTAACTATCTCTCTCATCAAATTTAATTTTTTTTCCAATAACTGAGTACATTTGAAATTATACAATTATAGAAACTAGAAGTAGTTTTATCACTCTTTCACATAGTGTAGAATAAATTATCTTTTAATCCATCTTTCAATCCGCAATTATCATAATTTTCATTAATTTTAGAAACAGATTTAATTAATGATTTTCAGATACTAATCGAACTTTATTCTTTTGCTAAAATACAATTATTGAAACAGTATTCAATTCTCTATAAACTCACATTAGTGCTAGTCTTTACTAACATCGTTTGTGCTATGACTAAAACAGATTTTCTTGACGTATTATCTTTCTGATGCAAAGCAGTATTTTTGACCAAAACAAAGTTTTATATACGATTTTATTACTATCAACGAATTACTGAAAGATTTTCAAAAGTATAAAGATCGATGGAGTTTTGTGCGTGCGACATTCTCATCTATTGGACTTTCAAAAAAGGTTTCTCTTTCTTGCTATAGTGAAGACGTAAAGAAAAAGGCACTTTACAAGAACTTTTTTAACGATGCTTGAGATTCAAATTTTTTCTCACTCAATCTCAACCACAAAAAGTTTGGTTTTCTATGTTTTTTGAAGATTAAACTTTGCTTTTCCAATGGAAAAATAATTAACTTTCTAGCACATCAAGAACATGTAGAAATAATGCTCGATATTTGTCCAACTACTTTTTGCATCGTAGGTTATAGTCAATGTTATTAGATTCATAAATGGTCAAATAGCTTAGAAACTTTATTTAAATGTTTGAAAAATGTACATTCATATTTTTCTCCACTTGTTCTGTACAACATATTCTATTATCTAAAATCTTTAATAACAATATCGCCATGTTATAATTATCAAGTTCAATCTCGATTGGACAACACACGTTGAGTATGTTTTACATAAAGTAAATCGTGTAATTGATCTTTCAAACTACATTCACTTACACTATTACGTCAAATATTGGATGTATAAATCGTTCATCCTTTCTTAATTTATATATAGTTCATCTAACACCATTGGAAGAAATTTAGCTAGGAGTCAAGTCAGTATGTGTCGACTAGAGCAGTATTAGAGACCACGATATTTAGTTCAGCTGGTAAAGTCTTTCAACATTTAGGCTTGAAATTGTTAGCTAAAAATATAGACTAACTTTATTTTATAAAGTTATGACTGGAAGAACATTATTATTTCTTATAATATCTAATAAAGTTTAAATCAAAATTATTGAATTTGCTCAAAAACAATATCAAGAGTATGACAATTTTAGAAAAAAAATTTAAAGGCATTGCTTTAGCACTAGTGCTCATCAATGCAGAAACTGAAAACTTTTTTAACATTGATGCACACCCGTGCAGATTTTCTTCATTAATTGAGCATGGATCTTTAATAAAAACACAAAATTGTGTTTATAACTTCCCTTCGCACTGCTAAATGTAATATTTTCCACAAAAAAAAACTGTTTTCACGCTTAGTATTAACGAAATCTATATTCTAAGCATGACAATGTTGTTTTCAGTTTAGCAACTGTGTTTTTCTTACAATACAAAAAGCATTAATTTTCCATTTGATTTTAATGCACTATACAAAAGACAAATAATATTATCAATATTTTTCATTCAATATAATGATATTGATCTAAAAGAAATTGCCCCTATCTAAATGTAAAAAAAATCAATAACTTTATTTCTTCTAATATACTCGATGAAAATATCAAATTTTCGTTTATTTTAAACAGGAATTCAATAATGTTACTATTTGTGACATAAAGCAAAACATTTTATCTCTCTTCTAAAAATAATTTATATTCGCTAACTAAATGTTAGAAACTTGACCACTTTAAAACTTCTTTATATTTTTGGTGTTATAGCTAGAAATTCACCAATTATAGATTTGGTTTTTTGACTTATCTGCGAAAATAACTATATCTCGCAACCTATTTGTTATCAATTGTTCTCCATGATCTCAGATTGTAATCAAGGGTTTTAAAGAGGGGACAAAATGTGAAAACTACATCAATCGATAGAAGAGAGCGCGGGCTACGTTTTGATAAGAAAATAATTTTGAAAAGGTTTTTCCTTCGGGTGAAAACGCGACTTTAAGCAAAAGTGCTATACTCTCCAGTGCGGCTGCTGAATCTCAAGAATGAGAGTGTGAAAAAAAATTCTGATTAAGCCATTCAAACGAGCGTCCAAAACTGAGTAAGATAAATATAGTGTGGAAGTTAAGTTCTTCCCCTGTCAGGTGTTTAGTGAGTGAAATGCGTCCACGCGTTATTTTTAGAAGTAAATTAAAATTAGCTAAATTTCGAGTGACACATCACTAAACGCAGTTTTTGACGCTGAGCACGAATATGACGTTAGTTTTTGATGGGAAAGCTTTTCTATGGATGGAAAGCCGATTTTAGTTTACTCAGTTTTGGACGCTCGTTCGAATGGCTTAATCAGAATTCTTCTTTACACACACATTACTGAGATTCTGTAGCCAAACTGAAGAGTATGGCACTTTTGGCTTAAAGTCGCGTTTTCACCCTACGGAAAAACTTTTTGAAATTTTACCAAAACGTAGCTCGCGCTTTCTTCTATCGATTGATGTAGTTTTCATATTTTGTCAGTGCTCATACAGCGTAAAAAAAGATTTTTATCAACTGTATAGAGAATTCAACAGGGAATCTTTTGATAAAAAGACTAGCTCAATCAAGTGTAAGGAGGAGGAGAAAATTTGAAAATACAAACAGTCTAATTTATTCTGCGCCATCCGATACTTTCACACTTACTACTTTTCGAAAAACTTCGTAAAATCACCTGTTTTCACTTAATGCCAAAGATCGTAATGGACCTGCACACAGTATATAACATATTGTTTTTTTTGTCTTGTTGTTCATGTTTTGATTTTGAGTTTTTTGCATTTTATATAGTGGTTTGTCGTTGTTTATGATAACCGGGTGATTATACACTTAATTGAATAGGCTTGTGACAGTGATGGTTTTTGTTGTAATAAAGTAGAAGATTGCCCTCCGTGTAGAAAGAATACTTGACACTTCTCCTCACTATCTCATCCAAGCTGTCCCATCCGCTTGACGTTTTCTATAGATTCACTAGTAGAGAATTCTCTATTTTCTGTCAGCTTCATCAAATCTATAGAAAACGTCAAGCGGATGGGACAGCTTGGATGAGATAGTGAGGAGAAGTGTCA